AGCACGTGTGTAAGCAAGTGTGAGCGTGCACTGGCATCTTCCTCAAACATTCTTACTGCAGAAGTTTGGCTACACTGTGCTTAACCAAATTTCCTATATTGGGCCTATTTTAAATTGGCCCTACTTATGGTAAAATAAAACTCTACCTGCAACAAGCTGCATTTCTTAGGGTATTTTCTGAAAACCACTGTAGTGCGAACTTTATAAACCTGTTCCAGATGCTGAAATGTAGAAGGCAGGACTGGGTCCTCGCCAGGCAACCCCGGGATGCACCGAGCAGGCTGCGGCAAGAAGGGCGTGCGCAGCTCGGCACACTGACCGGGGCGTCACAGCCGGAAGCGCGGCGTCGCCGGGCCCCCTCACCCCATCGTGACCGAGCCAGGGTGTTAGGAGAGGACACTGCCCAAGACCCAAAGTTGAAAGCGTCAGAGAAGGACAGTCGGACTTCGCGTGTCTTTTCACGTAGTGAAGCATACGCCTTTAATTCTCCATCAAAAAGCAACACACCTACAGGTTTACTAACTTTGAGAAGGCAGAATGAAGTGTGGAAAAGGCACTTGGGCCAAGTTTGGACTCCACCATTTACTGATGGAGCCCCTCAGCACCCTGGCCTCAGTTTCCACATCCCTGAGATGGGTCCAAGCCCCCATCTCCTCTCATGGGGGGAGGTCAGTGTAGAGGCACTTTGTAAACAAGTGTGACCTGCCTCTGTAACAGTGGTGCCACCATGGGTCTGTGGAAGGCTCCAGGAATCAGCTAAATCTTGGGGGGTGTGTGGCTTACCACATCCCAGCAGATCATGACATGCCCTGAGACACCCCAGGCTGGCGCCCCTTCTCCCCAACAGACATCACATCACGAGCCAGGCACGCTCAGGCGGCTGGGCCAGTCACAGAGCAAGATGATTTCCAGCTAAAGGAGGGCGTCCGTGGGAGTCCTCTTCGAAGTGAACGATCGTGTATCCCCCGCCTCCCCCAGTGTGAGGGCCAGAGCCTCACGATAACTCGGTCAAAAAGGAGTCGAACTTGCAGACAGGTCCCTGCGTCCCTCCACACAGAAACACGCCCAGCTCAGGGGAACCAGGATGCCGCCGAGGGCAGCTGCAGTTCACAAAGTCCCCTGGATTTACTATCGTCAACAGTGAAGGCGGAAGAGGACAGAAGTCAGGTCACTGCTCAGAACTGGGCGTGCAGTGAGCGTGGGTGAACTTCCCGCCCCAAAGAGTAGAAGCGGGGGGGGGGATCTCTGTGAGACCCCAGTAAGTAATCTCCCTAGAGACCGCACCACGCTCACAGCTGAAGAAATAAGCCCTCGGAAGTTCTAGACATAAGCAGCCTTTAGAGAAAAGTAGTATCTTGGCCAGTCAAGCTCAAAATTTTAAATCTTTGCTTTAAATAAATGTGGGCAGGTTGAAAAAAAAAGCTCTTTGATATTGTGGTTAAAATTCCTCTAGTTTTGAGATGAAAACACATAGGACAGAGGCTTTGCGAGGACACAGTACACAAGAGGACGTTTTCAAGCGCAGAGAACCGAGAAGTAGGGCCCCACCCGCCCCACGATGACTGGATCGAACATCGAGAAGTCAAGGCGGACCAGTGACTGACAACTCCTTTTCCTGCAGGAGGTGCGCTAATGACACGCGTCGTGGTATTATCACAGGAAGAAGATGTGACTAATAAGGGGGTATCTAAACGCGGCCGACCGAAATAGAAATGGAAGCCAATTTGGGGGCCAATTTTTAGAGCTAACTGCCTCTGATTGAAATCAGCTCTGATTTGGCTTAAATTGGTCGCTGAGGTAGCAGAGCCCCCACGTCACGCCCGAGTCTGCTCCGATCACACGTCCGGGAGCCGGAGAAAGAGCTCCTGGGAGGACGCAGCTTGTTAAGAAAAGGAAGAAGGGAAAGGCGGACAGCGATGGGGGTGACGGTCTCTTTCCAGTTGCCACTTTCAGGAAATCTTTGCCAGTGAAATTTTAGAGAAATCTCCCTTGGGAGTCAGAGCACACGTTAGGCAGAAGTCTCACCAAAAAGGCACGCTGAGTTGGACAATTTCATTCTTTTTCCCCCTGGCCTGGGGTCTCAGGGATCCTCACAGTCAGGAGTCCCCACACGGCTCTTCCCAGAGCGCCTGCATCAGCCCGGGAGGGTCTGCCCGTCTCAGGCTCTGGGCTATAGACGTCTCTGGTCACCCTTGCCTGCCTCCAGGGGTCCCCTCCCCCTGGGCGCCCCCTCCCTGGGCGTCCCCCGCCTCACTGCCCAGACACCGACCTGTCCTCTGCGTCAGATGGACCCGAGCCCAGAGGAAGCAGAAGTTCCAGAGTCTGAATGATCTTGGCCGGCACATTCCATTTTAATACACGTTCAGTCTGCACGTGGTACAGAACGGGACAGTTATCGACTCCTTTTTAAGAATATCCCGTATGTGTTGTTCTGGATAAGAACGGAGCAGAGCCTTATCTCAAGAGGTTTAAGAGGACTGGGGAGCCAAGACCCAGAGTTAATCTGGCGGACCTCGCTGTCTACCTGAGATCAAGAAAGCCCTGCGAACAGCCAGCTAACAAAACCCGGCATTGGAGGTGCGCAGGGGAGCGCTCCCAGAGGGCTCCGTTTCCTGGCTGATGCGCGTGAGAGAAGGATGCGCGTGGTGCCTGGGACCCACCTCCTCGTGCGCCTCTGTGAAGTGGACGCCACGGCACCCGGCCTGACACGGCGACCAGCGCGGCTGCGGCCTCTCCGGCGGCTCCGCGCGGCTGCAGCGGGAACCGACCAAAGCTTTAAAAAACACATACGCGTACGAAGAATAACCCGCTGGAAAGGGCACGCGCAGGAGTTATTCTAGAGGAAGCTGCTGCCGGTCCTAGAGGGTCTGCTCCGGGCATGGGAACTTTGTGGCCCACGGCAAAAATCAGCGGATGGGTGGAGGGGTGTCACCAAAGACAAGATGGAGGACAAAACCCCACTTTGTAACCTAGGGCTTCCTCAGTGCAGAGAGACGCATCATCAAGGAAAAACTGCTCATTTAAATATCAAACTATTTATGGTAGACATTGAAGTGAAGTCCCTAGTTTTGAAGATCCAGTCATAAAAACAAAGCATTTCAGAAAACTGTCAAGTTGAGATTTCCCAGGAAAAGAACCAATCGAATTGGGATTTACTTGTGACAAAGACAGGTTAGAAGCAACTGCAGCTTTTAGATCAGCTTAAATCAGGAGAGGCCATTGCCCTCTGGAAGATACAGCCTCCCCTCCAGGAGGAGGTTGGCGGGAGGGAACTGACTGCTGGCACCGCCCTGGGGGACGTGAAGGGCACCCCATCACCTCTGAAGATGCCGACGGTGAGGACCGCCACGCCATCCTCCAAGATGAGACTCGACAAGAAGAGAGTGCCGATGCGGGAGGAGAGGCAGTTCTGCCCGAACTTCAGGCCAACGCGGCCTTCTAAGGCCCAGGTCAGCGGATGCAAGCCAGCGAAAACCAGACCGGGCAGAAGCCTGCTCTGCTCCCTGGGGCTGGAGCCAGCCAAGGGGAAGCCAGGCTGGACGCAAGTTGTCCACAGGCTGCTCTCCTGCCTGCAGCTGGCCCGGGGGAACTGGAGATGTGCAAAGGGCGCCTCAGCAAGAAATTCAGAGGGAAGTCGCCGCGTCTGATGTGCTGGCCAGGTTCCAGGTCTGGGTGACCACGCTTTGATCGTGAGGAAGACATGGTTTCAAGCCATGCAAAAGGATGTCTCTACAGAGCGGGCTGAGCGGTCCTTGCTAATCCTGTCCGTTTGTGGCTCTAAAAGCTACTGGTCCATCAGGCACCGCGTGGACACGCTATGGACGTTAAAGCTGTTAAGGAAGGGCGTGACCTGCAGGTGTCTACACGCCATGAAGAAAACTCCCCGAGGCGGGCGACGGAAGGGCTAGTTCAGGAGCTCTCTGAACGTGAGCAGCTGGTCTATGGCACCAGCACCTTGGACAGGGAGCCTGCAAAAAATGACACGGTGTGAAACGGAGCCCCTACCCTGCGCCAGCCCTGGTCCACGCGGTGGGATCGGGGCACGGGGTGGGGGCCTGGGGAAGGGGTCAAGCAGGGTCTGAAAACAGAATTTTCTCTGCGTTGGTAAGAAAGTCATTTCCAGACAAGATGGAAGCCAAGCAGGTGACGGTATCTGCAACAGGCCAGGCAGTTAAAGACAATTACCGGGGATTCTGGGTGCTCGTGTTGTAGGACGTTGAAGCCTTGTCCCTTTCCCTTACATACGCCTGCAAGTCTGTTCCAACTAGATTCCTGGAGGTGCTGACACGCTGCCCCTGGTCTGCAGTGACTTCCTCCAAAACCTGCCTAGGAACCCAGTATGACCACGTGCACACGTGTGTCCACACGTGAAGAAGCAGCACCTTAGACCGGGAGTGCACACGAGGCTGACCAGACTCACGCTTAGAACACAGAGGACATGGCAGGCGTGGAGGAGGGGAGAGCTGTGGCGCCTGCGGGCGGGGGAGCCTGCGTTAGCTGTGGGCTGGCGCTGCCTTGGGGTCGCTGGCGGCTGTGGCCACGTGGACCGAAGGGATTAGCTCAGATCAGATCTGGGTGTTTTTTTTTTATCATCAGTGCCATTTAAATACCCATTTTTTAGATCGTTATCTTAACTACTGACTTTAAAAAAAATCAGCTTTTGACTTTGGACATTACAGTGACTTCCTAAACCTGTGCGCGCGTCTGAAAGCCTTCCCCTCCGGAGCGGGCGCATCCGGAGAGAAAACGCCTGTGCCTCGGACGATTCAAGACGGAAAGGCTACATGGGATTTAAAGCTGGAGGTGAGCGAGAGGGAAAAGGCAGAGTGCGCTGTCCGGAAAAGTGACTCAGCCCCGAAACCCCGACCCGGGTGCTGAGCTGAGGCGCTGATGGGCGCAGGTGGCTTTCTAGAGGCATTTTCCCTTTTGAGCGACACGTCCTTTTTGTTACTACTAGCTGCATCGATTTCAGAAAGAGAATGATTTTTGTTAAATCTTACTTGAGTTCTTGGGAGCTGGTGGCCAGCATACTTCGAATGCTTTTGTCAGCCAGCGGGCAGCCGGACAGACTGTAAGACAGGCCAGGAAAGTCAGGTGAGTAGCCCCTCGGCCCCACTTCAGTTCCCGAACAAACACAACATAAAACCGAAATTAAAAAGTTTAATGCAGAAAAGCAATGGGGCAAGTGCTGTATATTGAATTTTTCTCTGGTATCATTAACTTATTAAGATTTGCAGATTAATTTATGAAAACGTGTCTGTTCATAAACCATTTGAAAAATGAGATTAAACTATTTGAGCTCTTTGGTTGAAATGTTTGTAAATAATTTTGTAAAAAAATTTCGGGGGTTTGTTTCCAAATAAAAGACATTATACAACACGTTGATCAGCATGCTGTAGGAGGTCAACATAGAGCACTTCAGGGGTGACACACAGTTCACGTTGGTACTTGGACAGCATTGTTGAGGTAAGCTGAAAACAATAAATTGAGAAGACAGAATCCACCATGAGGGAAATGAAGGCACACCTTCTATGTGAGGCGTAATTACCAGTCACATGACCACTCCCATCACACCTGGGTGTTGGACATCTGCCACCAAACAAAAACAAAAACAGCCAAAGTAGTAAGTAGGTTTCAGAAAAATAAAAAGCTTTTAAAAGAGTTTCATTGTTTCCAGTTTAGCTGCAATGTCTGCACGGGGTGACACCTGCAGGGGAGCTGCGGGGCACGGGGTCACACGAGGGTGGCGTCTCCACAGCACAGAGCATCGCTCAGAACAAGCGTCCACGGCCGCCTCTCACTCTACTCGGCTGCGCTGGGGACACTGTACGCTGCGCACGTCACATGCTCAAACGGCAAGGCATATACAGACCCGGTTTAAAATTAAGCCAAATAAAGGGAACGTTCGGAAGAGGCTAATTTCACCTCCCGTTGTGCTTACGTTATCAAGTCCTTTTTGCTCTCCTTGCACTGTGGGTACTTGGGCTTGGGGCTCGGGATGGTCACCTCCCCCGGGTACCTTCTCTCTTCTAGGGCTTCCTGGAAGGGATCCAAGTCTTCTGGCTGCAGGCGAAACACAGCTTCAGGGCCACACAGACGAAGATTCGACACACAGACCAGGGGCCGCATCCCCGCTCCCCCCAGAGGCAGGGGGTGGCTGCCTCTGCCTCGTCCAGCTCCCCCAACCTCACCCGTGAAATCACGATACACCCTGGTCCCGAAGATGCACACCGAACTCTGTTCAGAGTATCTCGTCTATGGTGGACTTTAATTTCTCATCATTGCTCTAAATTCCTAAAATGAGGGTAGCATTTTGGTGGGCAAACTCAAAACTCGTTTTTTAGATTCCTGCAGCTGCACTGACTGGAGGGACAGGTTAAGTGGTCTGGCAACCAGCAACCACTCACCCGGGTTCCACACACGGTACTTTCTGCCACCGGAGGGCAGGGCGTAAGCACTTCACCCAAAGATACCTCAGACGGGGCTCCTCAGGCCCCTGGCGAGTGCTCTACACGCGTGCGCCAGCCCCAGGCAAGGGGAGGCCAGCTTAGACTCGCGCTGCCACTTCAAAGGACCCTCACGCACTTTCCTCTCTGCAGGAAGCGGGTGCTCTGGCTAAGCGGGGCCCCTGGCAGTAACCTAGGCATTCCTGTAGGTGGCGGTGTTCAGCAAAAGTGCTTTGAGAGCCCGACTTTGCACCCGTGTGACCCTCGTTGGATAGAAACGTTGCTGTTGCTTTATGAGGGCTTAACTTTCATTAAAATAAATTCAGAGATTCAGCTACCATGCCGTATTTGGTAGTGACGACTTAACGCTGCAGGAGAGGCAAAAATACTTTAGGAATTCAGCTTGCCACTCAGATTCTGTTCTCCTCTAAGGCGCCTGGATACTGAAGTCAATTTGAAAGATAAAGGTAACAGTCTTTGGAAGCAACGGCCTCATAAGCAGGTGCCTTCCCTGCCAGTTCCCACAAACGGCCAGCGCTCCCCGTTTCCCCACCTCCCCGTTTCTGTAGCTGTTGTGGCTTTGATGGGGTCTCTGCTGTGTTCAAAAAGAATTTCCACTTTCAGGGAATAAAGAAGACGTCATAATTTGCAGACTTGAACACTGGACAAAAAGTCAAATAATGAACATTTTTTCCCATTTCTTTTCTTAGCCTACAGGCTATTATAACTATTTTGATAATCTGGATTTGAAAGTTGTAACTACTTCAAAAATATGTTCTTGGCACAGATGCTTTGGTCGTATTATAGGCAGCAAAGGTGTAGGTGACTGTGCTAAAAAGATCTACCCCAGGCTGGAGGATCCTCTCCTGAATACTTCACGTTTCTTAGAGAACAGACCCTGTCCTTAGCTTCAGAGAGCCAGCGGATTTATAGCACAGAGGGGACCATTTAAGTATTCAAGACCCTCATAATCATTTTCTATCTGCAAGAAAAATTCCACATCGTGTCAATACGTCAGCCGTGGAAAAATGAAACTGGTAGCTGCTTACACATGTTCTTAGAGATACCGTCTGTAATAAACGCACTTGGTAAGAAAGAAAATTCATTATTTGGAAGAGTCCGTGGTTTGGTTTCACTCCAATCAATGCTCGTCACAAATCTCTCCTGGGTGGACCAGAAGCCCTAGGCAGCTAAAGGCCGTGTTTAAAGAGAAGACACGTTCTGTTAGGGTACATGCCAACACTATTTCCCTCAGCTGATGCCAGCTTCGCATGCTGCATGGACAGAGCGGGGCAACGAAAAGGACATACAGTAATCTCTTTGGACTCGTCCTCATCCACCCTCCGGGGTTTCATTTTGGTGTAGTCTACGGGCAAGTCCCAGCAGTCCCCCTCGCCCAGCTGGAAGCACCGGCTGTCCATCGCCGCCTGCCGCTGGGGGGACATGGGCTCCAGGGGCGTGAGGATGGGGCAGCAGCCCTCCCGCGGCCGCTGCTTGTTCATGCTCAGGTCCAGGGTTCCGTTCTCATCCACCTCCATGTCGGGGTTCTGCGGACAGAGGACACAGTCAGCCTGCGAGTCCACCCCCCCGGCCGCAGCCCTGCCCTCCGCCCGGACAGAATCCAGACTCGAGACCCCTCCCTGCAGCGTCATCTGCAGGAGCTCCCAGGAGAGCGGGGCCCGTGGCGGTCCCTGCACGCAGCCGCTCTCCCACCTTGTTATGCTGCCGGCCGGCAGGTGCGCGGGTCCACCCCTTCACTTACCTGTCATCACCAGTCCCTCTCTCTCACCTACCTGTGCATCATCCCTCACTGACTACCATGGATCGGTATCTTCTCTTTTTCCTCATGCAGCTCTGCTCTTAGAAACAAGCTGACCACGAGGAAACCCAGTGCCTAATTTCAATTCTGTTCCAGCTCAAATATATCTTAAGAGATCAGCAATGTATGTGTGCATATGTGTATGGATTGTGTGTACTTAAAACGTATGGACTTCAAATTCTCCTGTGGTTTTGCTGATGCTAATACATCAAGACTCGGAGGGGAGGAGAATACAAGAATCCCATGGGATGGAGGGAGGAGAGGGACCAGAATTTACTTCCCAAGACAGAATCCTATGACGAAGAAAATCTCTCATGTCAAGCCAGGCGAGGTACAATCCCAGTCCAGAACACCCCTGCGGCAGTGACCACAGGCTCACCTACTCCAGCTTCCAGCAAACCTGCAGTTTAGTCAACCAGCATTTAAAAGACCGAAGAGGTGCAGGGCGAGGGTTTTTTTTTTTTTTAATGCTGCTTTAAACAGATGAAGAATTCTTCAGTGCCTGCCTCTCAGGAGGAGGGAGACAAGGAAGGACACAGGGAGGGCAGAATTAGAAAAACCAAAATACCCTGACAAGCCTCAGTTTCAAGCAGAGAATTACACTCCCCTGAGCATAAATTTGATTCCAGAGCTGGCGTGAAAGCCGCTGCCTACTCGGATGCCTGGCAGCTCCTTCCTCTGAATGTAGCAGCAGAGGGAAGACGCTTGGAATGAAAGCCCCATCTTGGGCTGTTACCTTGATAAATTACAGCGTATTATTCCGCCTGAACTCTTCTTGTCAAAGTGCACCCCTGGTTTCAAGCTTTCAGGCTAATTTAGCCTTCACATTGATGATAATTCTCCCGGTCTTAGTTCAAATTTAATAAAGTGAAAAAAACTGGAAGGGGTTACTGTCTCTTTCCCCTTGCCACAGGATCTCCTCCGTGCTAGCCTTGCATTTTAGCTGCCCTGATTACCATGGAAACTGCATGCCCCTGCCACGTCTCCAAAATCTAGGAATAAAAATATAAATAGGACCGAAAGCATTGGCAAAACGTAAAATTACTGACCTTTCTCCATTCATACAAATTACACTTATTTGTAACAACTACGGTTAGTGTTGGGAGCTCGGGTGCACGGCGAGCAGCGCTCGGCAATGGGGAGAGACCCTTTGTTCAGGAGAGGAGGCGCCCGGCCAGCCTGCCGCGCACTGTCCTGTCCCCAGAGAGCACAGTGCGCTCGCGCCGCCGCATCTCCGGCCACCTAGCGGCCGCCCTCGCCAGGCAGCTCCGAGCTCTGCGGGGCCAACAACGCGCTGCCCTGCGCTCAGCACCAGCAAGGGGCCGCGCACACGGACGTCAAAGGCACAGAACCGCCAGAAGCACTGCACAGCGCTTGAGCCTCTCTGGCGCTCTGCGTGATGAACGCCGGCCGCAACCGCATGACTGCGAGCCCGCGCGGAAGCGGCGCCTTTTCGCTCCCTTTGTTCCCGGCTCTGGGCGTGCGGCACACCCTGCGTTCCGCTTGACCGCGGCGGGTCAAGTTCAGGGCACACCGCTGCTCGAGCTCCCTAGTCTCTGCGCAGCCACCTGACAGGCCAGGAGGCAAGCGTGGGGTCCTCGGTTTCCAGAAGTGACTCTGGGTCCCGGGGAGGGGGTCCTAAATGGGCACGTCCACCTAAAAGACCTGACGATTTCTGACCTAGAG